CTACTACTACTACTGCTACTACTACTACTACTACTACTACCAATACTACTACTACTACTACTACTACTACTACTACTACTACTACTACTACTACTACTACTACTACTACTACTACTACTACTCCCTTCCGCCTCCTCCTCCTCTTCCTCGTCGTCCTCGTCCTCGTCCTCGTCCTCCCTCTCTCTCTCTCTCTCTTGCTCCTTCTTTGTCTCTGTCTCTCTGTCTCTCTCTCTTTCTGTCTTTTTCTCTCTCTGTCTCTCTCTCTCTCTCTCTGTGTCTCTCTGTCTCTCTTTTTCTCTCTCTCTCTCTGTCTCTCTTTCTCTCTTTCTGTGTCTCTCTCTCTCTCTCTGTCTCTCTCTTTTTCTTTTTTTTTCTCTCTCTCTCTCTCTTTCTTTCTCTCTCTCTCTCTCTCTCTCTCTCTCTCTCTTTCTCTTTATATATATATATATATATATATATCTCGCTCGTTCTCTCGTTCTCTCTCTCTCTCTCTCTCTCTCTCTCTCTCTCTCTGTATATATACATCTATGTATGTATGTATGTATGTATGTATCAACCTGGCGCGGCGATCCCTTTTCACCGCGGCGCCGCCCCATGCGCGCGCGGGGGCAAATCCCGCGGCGGCATCGCCGCACCCCGAACGTCGACGACGGTAGGCTCCGAAGTGGGGAAAGGCTTGGAGAGGACCGCACACTGCAACCGTTTTCTGGGCGTTACAAATGGTGGGAAGCATGGGTTGAGCGGCGGGGTCGCTCAAGGGATGTTGCAGCGGTTACGGATGACGTGGTACACTGCCTGTAACGACGTACATAGCGTGCCTTGTCAGTGACGCACGCTGTAGAGGAAGTAACGTAGCAGGTTCTGGGTTCGAACCACGTAGTTGTACCCAGGGAGGTCCCTGTTGTAGATCAGGGCCCGTGGTCTCCACGGGCACGCTTCGCAGTCTCGTGGCGATCATGAGGTTTACACTGTGTTGGTAGCCGTGGCCCTCGAAGTTCAGCTCGCGGTTTTCGCAGCTCTTCTGGTGGCTCTCATTGTTCTGCCCATGGTCTTCGAAGATCCGCTGGAGGCCCTCGTAGCTCTTCTGGTGACTGTAGCAGGTGTGCCTGTGGTCCTCGCAGCAGAGCCGGGCGTTTCGGCTGGAACGTCCGCACACCTTCTGACCCTGAGAACCCGAAGTTTCAACAGCTGCACGGATGGAGAGCGAATGGCTTTCAAAATATGGCCTCGCCGTAGCGCCGCGCGCGTTCGACCCCACAGCTGGGCACAACTCTACGGACGGAGGTCGCCTTTTTCAAAGTCCGCGCATATTCGTCGCACAAGTCTGCAAAAGCTACACCAATTGAGGGCGGCTGCTTTACGTTGTCCTAACGTATTGGCCACGACTTACACATGTGTACCAGTGACACGGAGAGGAGGAAAGGGAGCGCGTTTGATGTTTTCCTTGAACTGCACATGGCCCAGCAGGAAAGTGCCACAGAACAGTGCACGACAGTCACGCGGATGGAAGGCGGCTCCTCATCAGAGCGGAGACGTCACTGCATCTTGCATGAGTGAGATGCCGTGGCCGGCAACGTAAAAAGCCGCAGCTCCACGAAGTGAGTGCGGGTCCTTCCCAGGATGGGGCTCTCGGTTGGCACTTACTTTAGCCGTACAGTGGAGGCTGTCCACAAGAAACCTTCCCCAGGTAACCCAACCCTGAGACCCCAGGACGTCCTTTAAATTTTGTGTGTAGGAACGCTACGCTTCCCATCGCAAAACCATCGACGCCCAAGAAACCCAGGGCACTCTGGGGGCAAGGAGGGTGTTTCTGGGCATGGGCCCCCTCTGTATCTCATCTGGGCCCCGTGGATCTGCCAGCGACCCGGCCGGGGCCGAGGGGACGCCCACCAGGGTGCGTGCGCCTCCCGCTCGCCTCGCGTCCTCAACCCGCGCCTCCCCTCTCGGGTGGGGCGCGCTGGCCTGGAGCCTGTCCTGCTCCTGCACCTTGAGTAGGGGAACCAAAAGTGGCATAAGCATAAGAACTCGGAGGTCCGCGCGGATTCCTCGGATCGGCGCTGGGGACCCCTCCCTGGCGCGCCGAGCGCGCCAGGGGCGGCGCCGGAGGCGCCGCCGGGGGGCCTTCAGCGCCGATCCGAGAAATCCGCGCGGACCTCCGAGTTTTTGTGCTTTTGCCACTTTTGGTTCCCCTATTGAGGCAGCTTCGACCCGCAAGGACGGGGGGGGGGCCGGCTGAGCCTCGAGGCGCAGAGCCCCGCGGGCGCACGGCAGGCCCTCGAGGCGCCGTGTCTTTCCGGGGGGGGGGGGGGGATCCCCGCAGCAGGGGCGAACGCCCTACGGGGGCCCACGAGGAGGGAGCCTGGCGCGGCGGGGTGTGCTGCAGCATCGCTGAGGCACCTGTCTGTCTGCTCGGGTCCTGCCCCTCCTGAGTGTCCCTCCCCCTGGTCCTCCTCCATTTCCTCACCCTGACGTTCCTCCTCCTCCTCCTCCCTCTCTCCTCCTGCTCCTCCTCCTCCGCCTGCTCCTCCTGCCCCTCCTCCTCCTCCCTCCTCCTCCGCCTCCTCCTCCTCTCCTCCTCCTTTCCCCGCCTCCTCCTCCTCCTCCTCCGCCTCCCACCCAAAACCCCCAAAACCCCCTCCTACCCCCTCCCGCTCTCCCTCCCTCCCTCCCTCCCTCCTGCCCCCCGCCCGCCCTCACTGCCCCTCCCCTCCTACTGGCACGTGCAACCTGCACGAGTCAAGCCGTTTCGTACAAGAGCTTTGATGCCGGAGTTCAGCTTCTCATTAGAGGCAGCCCAGGCTGGCAGAAAGACGTCCGCCTGATCAAAGTCCAATCGCACCAAGTTGTCGAGAACTTGAAGAGGCACTCCGAAGAATGAAGACACGCCACCGGCAGTGCAGAGGCGGACAGCTGGGCGAAATGGGCGGCCAAAGAGCTCGCCCGCCCAGCCGAGGACAAAGTGCAGCAGAACGAGAGCTCGTTTCAACTGCTGCAGCGCTTCCTTCGATCTGCTTTCGAGGTCTTGCCAAAGTGGCCTGCTGTCGCCTCCAAGGCTGGGGGCAAGTCTCTAGCCAAACCGAGCAAGTCAAACTCCCCACCTGTGGGGGTGGCCTCCGTCCCAGGCTCCCAGGCTCCAGGCCCGTGCCTCCACCTCCCCGTCCTCCTGCGTCATCTGGGGATGCTGGTGGTGGCCCGCGTCTGCCCGACTGGACTTGGAGCCTTGGGGGTCTGCAAGCGGTGCAAAACCAGAGCCTTGACAGAAAACTCTAAGAAGGCAAGGTTTAAGGAGAGGTGCACGGGCACTTCCCCTTTACAGACGCTCGCCAACGAAAACCACGGCCACAGCCTTGTTCTAGCGGATTTTGAGAATCTGGTGAGAACTGTATCATCGTGTCAATTTGAGAATCTGGTGAGAACTGTATCACCGTGTCAGAAGTGCGGAGCCCATGCTGTTTCGAACCCTCGCAACTTGTGCAATGAGTGTCCTGCGCGATTCGCCGAGAGACAGATTCGGGGAGCACGCTTTGCCCGGGAGCAGATCTGCAGGGGCAAGCACCCCGAGAAGGCAGGGAGTGAACTGTGCCCCGCGCCCCCGATTTCGCAGCTGCTGGTTTCGCTGGCCTCTGAGGCGGCGGAGGGGCAGGCGCATGAGGGATGAGGTCTCCTGCGGCCCCGCCGCCCCCGCCGCTGGCGCGGCCCGCGCGCGCGCGCCGCCTCTCTCGGCATGGGGCTGCGCCGGCTGGGCAGCGACTGGCAAGGTTTGGGGTCTGGTCGGGTATGCCAACCCTCAACCTTCCCTTCTTTCCTACTGCGTGCTGATATTCCACGTCCTCCTCCTCCTCCTCCTCCTCCTCCATTTCCTTTTCCTTCCCTGCATTTGTAGAGACCTCCTCCCCGTCGCACCCCGAGGCCGGTCGAAAGGGCAGGCCGGGCGTTTCGCCTGAGACTTCCTCACCATGTGTGATCCTGCAACTAAGAAATTGGCAACAGCTTCACAGATGGAGGGCGGGTCGCTTCCAAAATGTGGCTCTCGCCTTAGCACCACGCACATTCGTTTTTAATGTGCAAGAGCTTCACGGATTGAGGGCGGGTCCTTTTTCAACATGTGGATTTCGCCTTAGCGCTGCGCCCGTTCGTTTAAACAAGTGCAAGAGCTTCACGGATTGAGGGCGGGTGGTTTTGCAAAATGTGGCTCTCGCTTTAGCGCCGCGCACATTCGTTTTAACAGATGCAAGATTTCCGCCGGTTCTCATGATTAACGTACCAGATTTGGTTTGTTGGAACGATTCAGGATTGTCATGGCGGAACAATTCAGTTGACTCGCAGTGTTGAAGTCCCAGGAATAGTGTTCTGGCACGATTCTTGATCGCCAAGACGTAACAGACAGGTTCATTCGTGGCGTTGAAATCTTGAGAATAATGTTTGGGACGCGACAGGATTTTCACACGGTTGTTCCCAACGGGGCAGTTCCCTCAGTGGAAATGAACCTTTGTAGGGGCCTGTGAAGAGGGAGCTAGGAGGGAGGGTAGATTCCAACATCGTTGATGAATCTTGGGTTTAGACTGGTCCTCCTCCTCCTCCTCTTCCCTCCCTCCCTACCCTTCCTCCCCGACTTCCCTCGCGCACGCGGGGGCGGCCCGCCAGCCTTACCTTTGAGGAGGGTCGAGGAAGATCGAGGATCGAGAGAGAGGATCAAAGAGGATCATACTGATCACCATCAGCAGCATCTACACAATCATCAT